GTACATGAACTGAAGTCTCAAGATCGATGACCAGGATTACAAATCTCAGTTGTTTTCAGCACTATACTCGTTTTGTATGTGTTTGAGTGGCAAGAAGTTTGGACCTTTTGATCAAAACTGCTTTTTGTACTGTATGTGAGCTACCTGATGAAGTGCAAAAAGGCTCGTCATCTGCGTGTTTCAGAACTACTGTCAAAACCGCACCTTAAAATGATAAAAAATCAACTGAGCTACGGAGAAAAAGTAGGTGGCCGGTTTCAGGAGTGTACTGTCCATACCGTAAAAATTCCAACTGTCCGACCGGGTTCCAACCTGATACCGGTACGATCTGCCAGTTAAAAATCGGACTTTGCGCGGTACATGTGTTACACATAATAAAAACAAAATTAAAAAATCCCTTCTCTCTGAGGGCCCACAGCCATTCTACAAACCACGGCCACGAGCGCGCAGCGGTGAGGGCGGAGCGCAATTCTACGGCCCTCCTGCGACCTCAAGGCCTCGGTCGCACCTCTACGCGCGCGGCATCACTACCAGGGACTCACGCCTCACTACTCCCGCCGTTGCCGTCCCCGTAGATGAATCATGTGAAGTGAAATAACCCGTAAGGGCGAGCGGAAGGCTGCTGGATGCGGCCGAAGACTATCTACGACCTACATCGAGGCCACACTAGTATTAAATATGGTAAGTCTTTGCTGCTGCATAACATGAGTGAGCATGTCGTTTCTAACTTGCTGTTGCAGCTTTGTTTGTAATATAAGATAATGCGTTAGTGCGGAAGCTGTTATCTATTGCCAGGAATTATACTGTTCAAAGCGTAAGGTGAGATCTGGTGCTGTTACTTAACTGTACTATGTGTACTACAGGTTCAGCGCTTGGGGGGGTTTGTTACGAATGAATTTTGGCAGCGCCGAAGGTGGTGTTGGATCGACAACGTCACCACGCTCAGCACGCTCGTGGAACTGGGTTATATGTGCGTCAAGCTTTCCAGCCTTGTGTAGATTGCGAAGGGCTTTCAGTGCCGTACCCGCTGCTGCTGCTGAGGACCCGTTCGTCTTCAAGAAGTCCCGCGTGCTCACTTGCGCTTTCTCACCAAGCGCGACCACCTCACTCTTGAACGCAGGAGACGAAGCATCAAGTGAAAATCCATGAGGTAAGAAAAGCATCATGTAGCCTGCGGTGTGTCTAAGCTCGTACAGCGTCGTTTTCTTCACAGAGCGCGAGGCATAAACGCGGGGCTCGGCCGTAAACCATACGTACCAGACTGCTGCAAGAGACTGCGAGCCCTTCTTCTTCGGACGAACAGTTCGGATGGCAATTTGTTGGTCAGGCTGTGATACACAACCCGCAACAGTTTTGGCTGGAGCCGACAGTGAGTGCAATTTCGCCTCTACAGCTAACAGTCGTTCCTCTAGGCGCTGATTTTGCAGGATTAAAACGCTGATCTGCTCGGACTGGCGCTTCATGAGGCTTAACACCTC